ATGTTGAAGTATGGTCATCTAGTAGAACAGAAAACTACTCAAAAGTCTTCAGCCAACAGCTTCTTGATATGGGAGCAAAAGTAAGTAATGCTTTATGAAAAAGCCGAATAGATATCTTGTTTAAGCTTTATATTGTGTTCATGAATTTTTCGAATATGAACATTTCAAGTTCTGTATGTATACAATATAGCAGTGTGTCACCAGGATAGATCCATTTTCTGTGAAATTCTTGGCATAAACCAATTGTTCAAACACCTCCCTCAAGTAAGCCTATATAAGTGTAATTGCATGATTTTTCTGCTACATGGGTGTAGTTCCATTTCCTTTTCGTTTCTTTCCCACAGTTTTCTAAACAGAGGGGAAAAGGAAACAAAGGCAAAATATGGTCATACTTTAAAGACTAACAGTTTTATTTCAGTATGACTTTTTGTAGATCAAAATCCAGTTTCTAAGACATGGAAGTGCAAATACATGGCCTGTACATATGACCATGTATATGTGTAACATATGATATGATGTAATGGGAGATTAAAAATGTAGGAAATGAATATGGTGAATCTATGTACTGCCACTTTAGCCATTTTGATTATGTGACATCAGAAGTCATTAAAACATGCCTGGCACTATAATTATGCAATAGATGTTTTAGATAAATTTTACACATTTTGATACAGTCTAATGAAATAAAAATGTCAATTTATTTTAAATCTGTAAATTTTCTGCTTAGCATGTAAAAATGTATTATTTTTCATTATGTTTGAAGAGCTTTATTCATTTTCAATAAGAGTTTCCAGTTAAAATTCTGAAACACTTCGTGTTCTTTCCTTTATGATCTGTAGGTTTCCAAGACTTTTAACAAGCAAGTGACTCATGTGATTTTTAAAGATGGATTGTCATCTACATGGAATAGAGCAAAGAAGGCTGGGGTTAAACTAGTGTCAGTGCTTTGGGTAGAAAAGTGAGTATTAATATTGTGATTGGGTTCTTTCTCTAAGAGGGGCAGACCCTTCTTTTCAGCAGGAAAAAAGGACGGAGAAGAAGGTAACGGTTCAAACATGGTTTCTCTATTTCTTTTCACTTCTTAGTGTTTATCATAGAAAGGATCTAATAACTCATCTCAGGCATCAACTTGTAACTCTTTTAGCATGTGTTATATTTACACTCTTTCATCCCATCATTTCTTCATCATCCCATGAAGACCTTGCTCGGTCTGAGGTCATGTTGGGAAGCTCAAGGCAGCACAGACTGTCCTGCAACAGGGGTGTTTCACCAAATTCCTCTGTAGATACGGAAGGTAGTTGGTGGTACCAATGTATGTCACTTTCTTCCCCCTGTGTCCTGGGACCGAGGTACCGCTACCATGCTCCATCCTACTTTGGATTTTATCCTTTCCTTGTCTGTGATATTAAGAGGATCGGGCAGTAAGATTTGGGAATTCCCAGAAGAGCTCAATCATTCCATACTTTTTTGACTCTTTCTTCAGTGTGTGCTCTTGGTCTCTCTCTCAATCTCCTGTTCTCCTTCCCTTCTCTCCTCTCCTTCCTCTTTTATAACCTCTTCCCATCTTATAAGTTTTAGCTCCTCCCCTCTCCTTGCTTGTTTGGTCTCTGTCAGAAATATCTCCACAGCTCTGTTTCTACCAGTCTCTCCTCCTCCTAACTTGATCAACTCTCCCACCATGCAACCAGCTCTCATCTCCTGTCTGATCTCAGTGGAGGACGGCACACTAAGCTTCTCTCCTTCACAAATATATGCTATATTTTTATACTGGAAGAGAAAATGTTGAAAAAATGTTAAAGCTATTGATATAGATATGTAATTATATTGCCCGGGGGGGGGGAGTTCAGGTTAGAATTGCTGGTCACACCTATATGGTGGCTGAAATCCTGTTGCTCAGTATAAGATAAACTGTAATTTTGGGTCCATCCCACCATGCAGATAAACTGCCTTGCCATGATTCTCACCTTCTCCCCCAGCCCCCGCCGAATTGCAATGAGAAGGGACCAAAAATTACAATTTAGCTTATACTAAGCAGCAAAATTTTGACCAATATATCAAATTGAATGACTCTCCCGAAGGAGACGTGCTTTATGGTGAACACACAGATCTATGGTAATGCATATGTTTTGCAAATGGGAGGTCCCAGGTTACTGCCAGTTGGAGGTATCTGGAATAATACAGTTAACTTTTAATATCAGAGCCATGCTGTCAGTCAAACAGTACTGACAATACTTTGCTAATTGACAGCGTTGACGGTACCTGGGCTTGCTGGACTCAATATGCAACATCTATACGGATGCATAGTAAAAAGTGTCCTCTCTTCCAAAGCATGTACAGTAGTGCCTCGACTTACGAACTTAATCCATATTGGAGTGGTGTTCGTAAGTCGAAATGTTCGTAAGTCAAAGCACCATTTCCAATAGGAATGCATTGAAAACCGATTAATCTGTTCCAGCTGAAGAATAAAAAGCACTAAAAAATTAAAAAGAACACAGCAGGCCCACTCGGAAGGCGCTCTGTTGCTGAGGTTTAAGAAGAAAAAAATCCATAAACAAAAAGTAAAGCCACCTCTGTTGCTGAGGTTTAAGAAGAAAAAACCCTCCAGAAACAAACACTAAAGCCACCAACAACACAGCACAGAAAAATACCCGCCCCAGCCAAAACCCAACCAGAACAGGTTTTTAAAAGGAGAAAACAGTAGCTTACCTCCCTGCAGACGCATACACGCACTCACTCCGAAGCAGAAGGAGGCTTTCGCAAGTCTCCAACATGACAACACACCCTCTAACTGCCAAAAGTGAAAGAGCTACAGTACAAAGCAGCCTCGTTGCTACCTACAGTTAGAAATCTGAATTGCTCGCCTTTTTCCCCTGCCTTTTTTCTGTTTGTAAGTGGCAGCTCCGTTCGCAAGTCAAAGCAAAATGTTGCGACCGGAGCTATTCATAAGTCGAAATGTTCATAAGTAGAAACATTCATAAGTCGAGGCACCACTGTATGTCTAAAGTAGATGAGGAATGTGGTAGACTTTTTTGTTAGACCTCACAAAGCAAATACATTTAAAAATTTCAATATGCAATGTTTGTTTTTGAGTCTTGAGTACCATATTATGAGCATCATTGAAAATGTAAATATAATAGTTTCTTGTATTCATGAAGGCTTTCACGGCTGGGATCTAATGGTTGTTGTGGGTTTTTCGGGCTCTTTGGCCGTGTTCTGAAGTTTGTTCTTCCTAACGTTTCGCCTGTCTCTGTGGCCAGCATCTTCAGAGGACAGCACTCTGTGCTCTAGTGTAGTTGGCTTGAGAGTGGAGTACTTATGGCTGTGAGATAGGCTTTTGTCTTTTTCTGTAGATGGGTGATTAGTGTGTCTTGTATTTTTGAGAGCTGGGAGACAAGTTTTGTTGATTTTCAAACTTTCCTCTTTTTTGTTGAAATTCTGCTGGTGCTTGTGGATTTCAGTGGCTTCCCTGTGTAGTCTGACGTAATGATTGCTGGTGTTGTCCAGTATTTCTGTGTTTTGAAATAGAATTTCATGTCCAAGCTAGAATTTCATGTCCATAATCACCCAGTCTCCTGAAAAGGACAAAAAGCTGATCCCAGAGCTACAAATACGCAACCATACTACACCAGAACACAGACAGAGTTCTAACTCCTATCCTCTGAAGAGGCCAGCCACAGAGAGACACAAAATGAAGCATCCACACCAGAATCAAAGAACATGAGAGACACTGCAGACTAAAACAACCAGAAAAATCTGCAGTAGCAGAACATGCCCTAAAACAAACTGGACATGAAATTCTATTTCAAAATACCGAAATACTGGACAACACCAGCAATCATCATGTCAGACTACACAGGGAAGCCACTGAAATCCACAAGTACCAGCAGAATTTCAACAAAAAAGAGGAAAGTTTGAAACTCAACAAAACCTGGCTCCCAGTTCTCAAAAATACAGAGTGCAAAGGGTCAACGAACTCTACCCATCAACAAGGACCAGGGATCACTACACACAAAAGACTAGCTAATGACACCCATCAACCACAGTGACAGATAATCTCTCCTTATCACAACAATACACCCACAACAAGACACACTAATCACCCATCTACAGAAAAAGACAAAAGCCCATCTCACAGCCATAAATACTCCACTCCCAAGCCAACACCACCAGAGCACAGAGTGCTGTCCTCTGAAGATGCCAGCCACAGAGACTGGCGAAACGTTAGGAAGAACAACCTTCAGATCACGGCCAAAGAGCCCGAAAAGCTCACAACAACCATAACAGTTTCTTGTTTGCATTTATTGCTATAAGTGGATTATTATTAATGTGGTATTTAATGCTTGTTTTACAGTCCATTACTGAGAGATTGGTCAGTTTTCTCTGTGCTGGCTTTGCATTTAGAACTTAATCTAATTGTTAGCCCCAATTAGATAAGACCCACTGAATCAATGGAGCTAGCATAGCTTTTGGCTGAGCAAGTTCTACTAATTCAGCAGGTCTATTCTTATCAGGGATTTAGGCCTTAGACAGGTTACCTCCTTCACTTTACTTTGCATACCCTCAGTAGTGTGTGGTGACCAAAATCATATTGGTTGTGACATTAATTTACTGGCAACAAGGCATTATTACAGCAGACCTTTGAAAGTTTACAAGTAAATTAACGGAAAAAGAATTTAATAATTGTCTAGTTTATAATATTTGCTCAAATCACTTCTGCTTAGAACTCTGACTGTTTTCATGACCATACACATCAATATGGACATATTTTATCAATTAAGTACATTGTATAGTTGTAAACCAGTGGTCGGGGAACAGGGGTAAATTACCCCATTTGGGGTAAAAATGAAAATCCTGGGGGTAATGAGGATGGTCACGGCAGCGCGACTGTCCTCATTACCCCTAGGCATTTTATTTTCCACGATGCGTATACCTGCAAGGACCTGACACAGTGCAATGCAATGTCAGGCCCTATGTAGCGCTTGCTTTGCTGATAGAGGCAGGTCCTGGAAGCCTGGAGCAAGCCTGGGAGCCAGTCTACATGGGCTCGTGAGCTGCTGTGGGCGGGGCGAGCTCTGCCAAAACTAGAGGCGAAGAGAGCGGGCGAGCGCGCAACTTGGCAAGGAGGGGAGGTGACGCAGCCGGGCTTCCTCGCTCTCTACAGCACACTACTATCCTTGCCCCGCCACACCACCTCCGCTCCCTTTTCTCTTCAGAGCAGGTCTGAAGGAGGGACAAACATCCACAGGGGAAGGTTTTGGCTAGAGGCGAGCAACAGCAGCCAAAGAGAGCGAGACAGCGAGCGCTGGGAAGAGTCTTTGGCCGTTGGCACCCAAAGTCCTCTCCCCCCTCCTCCAGCACCTCCTGCGCTCCGTCAGGCTGTGCTTCCCCTTCGCCCTCACCTTAAAGCGCGCGGGCTGCTGGGGAGGTGGTGTTGGGGACGGTGAGGGTGCATGTCCACGTGGCAGCCCCAAGAAGAATTTGGAAAGGGGGCAGCAGGTGTAGGGGGGGGCAGTCCAGCTTTCCTGCCTCTTCCTCCTCCTTTGCCTTCACAAATCCTGGAGGCACTATTCGCAGGTAGCATGCAACCCCACCCTTCGGGGAAAAGCCCAAATGGCTGAGAAAATGTAAAAAGGTGCAGGAGGTGGATGGGGAAGGAAAGTCCTGGCTATTTATGCATAAACTCCTCAAAAAACCTCAGGGTCCCCGAGGAAGTGGAGCCATGTCCCCTGCCACTCTGCTTTCCCAGCCCTTTTCCTTTTTGCTGTCCCCAAGGCCCCTGAGGAAGTCATTCAGGTGTCAGGGATGAGAGGGGAAAGGAGGCTTCAATGGGCTTTCTTGCAAAAGAGAGAAAGCAAGCTAAAGTAGGTGGAATTCTCCCGCCATTTCCCCAGACAATCGCTGTTTCCCATCCCTATCTCTCTCCCTCCCTCCTCTCACATGGCCGCCCCGCAACAGCCCAGTAAAGCCACCTTTAAGAACTCCTCATGAATTAGCTTCACCCACAGCATCAAGAGCGAGGGTGCCTCGGCTTTCCCTCTTCGGCACCCAGCTGATTCAAGCTATCAAAGTAATTTTGAAAAGAGTCAATAAGATTTTGAATTCAAATAATGTATGATTTCCTTCCTTTCAAAGCAAGGGGGTAATGTCAGCATACATACATTTTTTGGGGGGTAAAAGGTAAAAAAGTTCCCTGACCCCTGCTGTAAACTATGTGCTTTACAGTAGTAATCTCACTAGGTGTCACTAGAATCACAATATTGAACTACTCGAATATTATGCTGAATTTTATAGCTTTAATTGTGCATCAAAAGGTTGCAACATGGTGCTTTTCTGTTTCAATTTATACTCCATTACCTTTGTTGTGGAAGCCCTTTCTTGTTTGGGATTCTGTTGTATATGTAAAAAATTCTCAAAAAGATGCAGTCAAGTCTGTTGTTGCTCACTGTAGCTGCATGTGAGCTGTGGACCTGCTTGTTGTTTAGTCGTTAAGTCATGTCCAACTCTTCGTGACCCCATGGACCAGAGCACGCCAGACCCTCCTGTCTTCCACTGCCTCCTGGAGTTTGGTGAAATTCATGTTGGTAGCATCAGTGGCACTGTTCAACCATCTCATCCTCTGTCATCCCCTTCTCCTTTTGCCTTCACACTTTCCCAACATCAGGGGCTTTTCCAAGGAGTCTTCTCATCAGATGGCCAAAGTATTGGAGCCTCAGCTTCAGGATCTGTCCTTCCAGTGAGCACTCAGGGTTGATTTCCTTCAGAACTGAGAGGTTTGTTCTCCTTGCAAGATAGGGGACTCTCAGGAGTCTCCTCCAGCACCACAATTCAAAAGCATCAATTCTTCAGCGGTCAGCCTTTATGGTCTAGATCTCACTTCCATACATCGCTACAGGAAGAACCATACCTTTGACTGCAGACTTTTGTCGGCAAGGTGATGTCTCTGCTTTTTAAGATACTATTGAGGTTTGTCATCACTTTCCTCCCAAGAAGCAGGTGTATTTTAATTTTGTGGCTGCTGTCACCGTCTGCAGTGATCATGGAGCCCAAGAAAGTAAAATCTGTCACTGCCTCCATATCTTCCCTTTCTATCTGCCAGGAGGTGATGGGACCAGTGACCATGATCTTGGTTTTTTTGATGTTGAGCTTCAGACCATTTTTGCACTCTCCCCTTTCACCCTCATTACAAGGTTCTTTAATTCCTCCTCACTTTCTGCCATCAGGGTGGTATCATCTGCATATCTGAGTTTGTTGATATTTCTTCTGGCAATCTTAATTCTGGCTTGGGATTCATCCAGTCCGGCCTTTCGCATGAT